GCAAATGCGCCCAGTCCATAAACTCCCCTATTTTAGAAAAAAATGGGCCAAGGACCTTAACAGAAACCTCACTGGAGAAGATAACACAGCTGGAAAATAAACATATGAAAATATGGAGGACAGGTGTGCTGATTTCCTCCTGTAATCCTAGTGCTTTGGGAGACTGTGGGAGGAACACTAGAGGCCAGGAGTTCAAGACCAGCCTGGGCCACATGGTGACCCCATCTTAACAACAAAAAAAGCCAGGTGCAGTGGCTCACACCTGTAATCTCAGCACTTCGCAAGGCTGGGGAGGGAGGATCAATTGAGGTTAGGAGTTTGAGATTAGCCTGGGAAACATAGTGAGACCTTGTCTCTACAAAAAAATTAAAAGCAAAGATGCTCAACATCTTATGTCATCAGGAAAATGCTAATTAAAAAAATAAGATACCACTATACACTTATTGGAACAGCCAAAATCCAGAATACAGACAACACCAAATGCTGGCAAGGATGTGGGGCAACAGGAACTCTCATTCATTGCTAATAAAAATGCAAAATGGTATTGTCACTTTAGAAGATGAGTTTCTTACAGAATTAAACATATTCTTTCCATATAATCAAGTAATTGTGTTCCCTGGTATTTACTCAAGGAAATTAAAACTTATGATCACATGAAAACCTGAACAAAGATGTTTACTGCAGTTTTATTCATAATTGCCAAAACTTGAAAGCAACCAAGATGTCATTGAGTAAGTGAATGGATAAACTGTGGTACATCCAGACAAGAGAATATTATTCAGCACTAAAAAGAAATGGGCCTGACCAGGCTGGCTCATGCTGTAATCCCAGCACACTGGGAGGCCAAGGTGGGTGGATCACCTGAGGCTGGGGGTTCAAAGACCAGCCTGGCCAACATGACAAAACCCCGTCTCTACTTAAAATACAAAAATTAGCCGGGCATGGTGGCACATGACTGTAATCCCAGCTACTCAGGAGAATGAGGCAGGAGAATCACTTGAACCCAGGAGGCAGAGATTGCAGTGAGCCAAGACTGCACTCTGGCCTGGGCAACAGAGTAACACTTTGTCTCAAGAAAAAAAAAAAGAAAGAAATGAAATTAGCCTATTATAAAGCCGTGACAAGACAAGGAGGAAACTTAAGTACATATTACAAAGTCAAAGGCGCCAATCTGAAAAGGCTACCTGTTGTAGGATTCCAACTATACGACATTCTGAAAAAGGTAAAACTGTGAAGACGGTAAAAAGATCAGTGGTTGCTAGGGCCTGGAGGAGGAAAAAAAAGGCAGAGCACAGAGTATTTTTTAGGGCAGTGAAAATATTGTATGTAGTGATGGATACATGTCATTATACATTTGTCCAAACCCACAGAATATACAACACCAAGAATGAACCCTAAAGTAAACTACAACTTTGCTTGATTATGATGTGTAAATGTAGGTTAATGATTTGTAACAAACTACCACTCTGGTAGGGGATGTTGACAATGAAGGAAACTGCACATATAGAGGCAGTGTTCTATACCTTCCTCTCAATATTGCTGTGAAACCTCAAACTGCTCTTAAAAAATAAAGTTAAAAAAAAAAACACCAAAAATATCTGGAAACAACGCAAATACTCATCAACAGTAGTAAAGACATTTTGATATATTTATACAATCTAATATTATATAGCACTACAAGTGAACCATCACTAAACTGAGCAATACAAATTCCAAACAGTAATAAGCAACAGAATTCAGACAAAAGAACTCCTATTGCATGGCTGAATTAGTATACACTTCACTTCAAGTTCAAAAATGGATACAACTTCCTTCAATGAACAAAAAAAATTATCACATATCCATAAATTGTACACAATAAAAAGGAAAAAATTATTGATACATGCAACAGTGTGGGTCAATCTCAAAATAACTGTATTGAGTGAAGGCAGGTGGATAACAATACATACAATACAATTCCATTTATTAAAAATTCTAAAATATTCAAACAAACCTAAGTGTCAGAAGCAAATCAGTTACTGCTTATGGGTGGGGAGGGAGAGAAAAACCGGAGTAAGAAATTACAAAGGGGATTATTAATACGGATCCAGATTGTGGTGATGGTTTCAGGAAGTATATGCATGTCAACATGTATCAAATTGTATACTTCAAATATGTGCAGTTTATTCATGACAATACCTCAATAAAGCTCTTAGGAGGAAGTGAGGAAAGGGAAAAAGGGAGAAATGTAAGTGTGGAAGGAAGGAGAGGAGGAAAAAGGAGAAATAAAGTCTGAATGACTGACTTAAATTAGGTCCCAATTTTCTCATCTGTAAAATGGGACTACAATTTTGAACGTTAATAAGATAATGGGCCAGGCATGGTGGCTCACACCTGTAATCCCAGGACATTGAAAGGCTGAAGCAGGTGAGTTACTTGAGGTCAGGAGCTTGAGACCAGCCTGGCCAACGTGGGGAAACCCCGTCTCTACAAAAAATACAAAAATTAGCCAGGTGTGATGGTACATGCCTGTGGTCTCAGTTACTTAGGAGACTAAGGCACAAAAATCATTTGAACCCAGGACAGAGAGGTTGCAGTGAGCCATGACCACACCTCTGCACTCCAGCCTGGGCTGAGTGACAGAGCAAGACTCTGTCTCAAAAAAAAAAAGGAAAGAGAAAAATACAAAAATTAGCCAGACATGGTGGCACATGCCTATAATCCCAGCTACTTGGGAGGCTGAGGAACCCAGAAGATGGAGGTTGCAGTGGGCCGAATGGAGCTACTGTACTCCAGCCTGGGCAACAGAGCCAGAGACTGTCTCAAATCAATCAATCAATCAATCAGATAATATATGTAAAGTTTACATTTTTCCTTTCTTTCTCATTCAGTCCTTCAAGAAATATGATTATGTTATTGTGGCAGGGTCTGTGCTAACCACTGGGATACAAATGAATACTGTTTTACAGAGGAACATAAAAACAAATAACAAAAATAAATATCAAATTTTATAAATACTACAAAGAGATATGTGATGTAGCAAAAGATTATAATACGTGTTTTGACCCAGTCAGAGAGATTAGAAAAGTCATCCTTTGAGCAGTGACCACATTGCTGAGCTCTAAAGAATAAACAGGCATTAACTAGGTAAAGAGAAGAATAAGCATTTACAAAGCCTGGACTAGAGAGAGGAAGCCTGTCCATAAGATACCCAGTATCTCTGGAGTAGAAAGAATAAAGAGCAGCCTATAATTCATATATCTCTTTGTACTATGTATGCAGTTTTGTTATTATTCATTTTTGTTAATTGTTTCTATGTTCTCCTGTGAGACAATATTCTGTTGTATCCTGCAACTAGCACAGAACCTGGAACAACAAGGCTTGAAAGGTAGTTTGAGGGTCAGACAATGCAGGCCTATCTTAAGAGCAATGAGAAGCCCTTGAGATGGCTGAAAGAAGTAACAAACTGATCTGTACTATAGTTCAAAAAAAGTAATCCAACTACAGTACAGAGAGTAAGCTGTAGGAAAACAAGAATGAATGTAGATAGAGCAGTTAGTAGTTACTGCTGAAGTTCAGGCAAAAATAATGATAGTTGAGATAAGCATAATGAAATTAGAGATTTATTCTATGGAAAAACCTTTACTCAGGGCCTACCAAGTGCCAAGCACTATCACAAGTACATAGATACAGCAAAAAGACAAAATAAGCAAAAAAAAAAAAAAAAAGACAAAAATCTCTGCCTTTGTTGGGTTTATATTCTATCTAGTGAGAAGAGACAGAAAAATAAATAAGTGAAATATCACTTTTAACAGATGGTTATACATACAATGGAGAAAAACAAAGTAGTAAAGGGGAAGTAAAAGGAGGGAATGTCTCACTGCCCAAAGAATCAGAAAGGGATAGATTCTGGGCAAAGGAGGGATGACCCAGGAGTCCTGGACTTCTTACAGTGACTAACATAAACAGGGCTAAAAGGCATAAGAATATCTGCCCTGATAATTCTAAAGCAGATAGCGATAGTAGTGGTGATGGGGAAGAGGGGACTAAGGAACATGCCAAGAGATGCAGAGTTCTGCAGCCTTTCCTTTAGTCCTGCCAATGAAGATGTAGAAGCCCCGAGGATCGAAAGCCTTACCCAGAGCACTTGAGCCTTATTGCACTCCTTGTTGATTCCAGCAGAAAGGGGGAAACAAGAAAAGAATTGGACTTACATAATAGTTTATCCTCAATTCCTACTAGTCCGTTAACTCCATGAAGTGAGACGCTCTATCTTAACCATATTCCCATAATCCAGACAAGTACCCGGTACACAGCAGTGATGGGATATATATTGTTGAAAGAATATAAATAAATAGACTATTAAAGGCAAAGTATCCCTATATTATTATCAAGGTAAATATTTTAAATGTGTTCATATAAGTAATTACAAAGTTGGGGTAGCCACAAAATAGCTTTAAGTCAGTAGGTTAGCAGCTTTTGAGTTCTGTTTGATTTTGAATCATAATCAAATTATATTTATTCTTAATAACTTTTAAATTTGCTATTCTAAGAGTCTTAAAGACAATCACATTTTATAAATTTTTAAGATTTTAAAATATATACTTAGGACTTTTAAAACTAAAAGTTACAAAAACATAAAATTAAACTGAAGATCAGAAAAGTATTTTCTAATTATTTTATCATGTTTGTTTAACAAATGTTAATACTTTATCCTACACACTCCTCAATTGTATTACATTACCTTGCTAGCATATGCAGTGAAAAATATGTAGATAATATTTTCAAGCAGAAATCTGCAAACCAGGGATTTAACAGTGTCACTTCAAGCCACTATATAGTCCTGTGGTATGTAGATGATATATACAAATAGATAGATATAATTACAGTATATATATTAAAACAAGTGTGCCTTGATTACTTTATTCCAAATCCAAGTAAGATGTTCTCAATTATTTATATTATAAAATTTAAATTGCTATTAAGTTGTTAAACAAATTACTTATTTAAAAAATACATACCGCTCTCTTACAAAATCTGCTAGTTCTTTTGTCGATATCTGTCCATGTTTCATATTATGGTAGAGGACATCAAAGCCACTATTTTTTTCCCCCTATAATTTAAAAAGATTTTTAGATTAACAAAAAACAGATAAAAAATGACTTGAGAATCTAATAAGCCGACACTAATATGCAATCCTGTGCTCAGGTGAGCTGTTTCTCCTTAATTTAATGATTTATTTATTGCATGATTTTAAACAGTATAAAGCAGTATTATATGCTTTGACAAAGTCTACAATTAACTATGTATCATATACCTATATACACACATATAGGCATACATTTTGTAATCACCGATAAAGGTACAATTAATAAAATTAAGTATGGGGCTAGGCACAGTGGCTCACGCCTGTAATCCCAGCATTTTGGAGGCAGAGGTGGGTGGGTCATTTGAGGTCAGGAGTTCTAGACCAGCCTGGCCAACATGGTGAAACTCCATCTCTACTAAAAACAAAAAAATTAGCTGGGCATGGTGGCATGCACCTGTAATCCCACTACTCGATAGGATGAAGCAAAATAATCGCCTGAACCCTGGAGGCAGAGGTTTCAGTGAGCCGAAGTCACAACACTGCATTCCAGCCTGGGTGACAGAGCAAGACTCCATTAAAAAAAAAAAGTAAGTATGAGTTTTAAGGAATAATATGCAGCATAATTAAGAAAGATAAACATAGACCTTTCAAAACATATTACCAAATCCCATTTCAACTTATTTAACACACAGTAAGAAATTCCTGATTATTTGAGTTTGTGCTTTAAAATAACAAAATCTTGATTTCTGAGTTAAGACAGTACAGTAATTACATCAGCACTGAGTATCACAAACTACTTAGATCTTTCAGCAAACTTGAGAAGTGAGAAAACTGATAAAGTTTAACAAAAGAGAAGTAACAGGCTATTTGCTAGTCTTTAATTAATGAAATTTTTTTTAAAGACAGTCTCCCTCTGTCACCCAGGCTGGAGTGCAGACATGTGATCTCAGCTCATTGCAATCTCCCTGTCCCAGGTTCAAGCAATTCTCATGCCTCAGCCTCCCAAGTAGCTGGGATTATAGGTGTGCAACACCAGGTCTGGTAATTTTTGTATTTTTAGGAGGGATGGGGTTTTGCCATGTTGGCTAGGCTGGTCTTGAACTCCTGGCCTCAAACGATCCACCCACCTTGGCCTCCCAATGTGCCGGGATTACAGTACAGGTGTGAGCCACTGTGCCCAGCCAAATTAATGAGATATTAATAGAACTAGATCACTACACAATCCTGGAAAACCTCTACTGCTGTTTAATGCTATAAATCCTAAATTAGTAAATTATAGAGAGAACATTAGAAATGTCAATTTAGCCAGGCGCTGGGGCTCACGCCTGTAATCCCAGCACTTTGGGAGGCCGAGGCGGGTGACTCACGAGATCAAGAGATCAAGACCATCTTGGTCAACATGGTGAAACCCCGTCTCTACTAAAAATACAAAAAAAAAAATTAGCTGGGCATGGTGGTGCGTGCCTGTAATCCCAGCTACTCAGGAGACTGAGGCAGGAGAATTGCCAGAACCCAGGAGGCGGAGGTTGCGGTGAGCCGAGATCGTGCCATCGCACTCCAGCCCAGGTAACAAGAGCGAAACTCCGCCTCGGAAAAAAAAAAAAAAAAAAAAAAAGGTCAATTTATTCAATGAAATAAAAGACAACTGATATACTAGGTTTAACAACTCTCTTTACAGGTTGCAGTTTTAATTTTTCTTTAGTGAAAATGAAATAATGAATAATGGAATATATTTGTTGGAAATAAAAGCAATACCATAAGCAAGTGTTATATAATCTAGAACTTGATTTTTCTACAGTCCACTGAAAACAGAAAGCGTAAGAACTTCCGTTATGTTGAAGTGATCCCTGATAAGCTCATCAGCTAATGTACCTAATAATTAGTCTGCCATACATATACCAAATTAAAATGTCAAATCTGTAACAAGATAATATAAACAAAACCTTAAGCATTTTGAACAACCATTTCCATTTATCAAGATGGATATAACATAAAACCATAGTCTTGTGAATCCAAACATTTCCCTTTGGCTTCTGCAACTTTACATGTTTAAGATTTATTTTTTAATTTATTGTCAGAGACTTGTGACTGTAATCCCAGCTACTCCAGAGGCTGAGCAGGGAGGCTTGGTTGAGACCAGGTGTTTAAGACCAGCCTGGACAAAGTGAAAACCTGTCTCTAAAAATGATAAGGGTTTGAAACTTCTCCAGTGACCTTTTTTAGAGCAACAGTAAATTAGACACTAAAAATTAAAAACCTGGACAGCATTCGCTTTTTTAAAAAAAAAGATTTTGTAGAAACAGGGCCTCCTTATATTGCTCAATCTGGCCTCAAACTCCTAGCCTCAAGCAATCCTCCCACCTTGGCCTCCCAAAGTGCTGGGATTATAGGTGTGAGCCACTGCATGTAGCCAGCCTACTTTTGATGGGTCCAAGATTTGAAAAATAGGCAGAAGATAAATTGTATACTCTATAATCACATTATTAATTAAAAAAACTAATATTACCAAGTTTCCTTTTAAATATTTCAGAAAGTTCTTTGGAGGGGTAAGATAAAGGTCAGGAGGTATCGTCCTGTAAACACCGATAACATGCCTAATCTCCCTCTCAACTCTACACTACCTCAAAACAAATAAATACCATCACTTCCCACACTGTCTACATTTTCCTTTTAATCCTGCTCTTACAGACATTTACTAGACCACCTTGGACAAGTCAATGCACAATACAACATTAATATGTTTGATATATCTCACTTTATCTTGACTTCTCTGAAAAACACCATAAAACATTTTACTAATCCTAAAGATTTTTTTTTTTTTGAGACAGAGTCTTGCTCTGTCACCCAGATTGGAGTGCAGTGGTGCAATCTTGGCTCACTGCAACCTCGGCCTCAGTTCAAGCAATTTTTGTTCCTCAGCCTCCCAAGTAGCTGGGTTACAGGCATGTGCCACCATGCCAGGCTAATTTTTGTATTTTTAGTAGAGACGGGATTTCACCACGTTGGCCAGGATGGTCTTGATCTTCTGACCTTGTGATCCACCCCTCAGCCTCCCAAAGTGTTGGGATTACAGGCGTGAGCCACTGTGCCCAGCCAAGATTCTTTTTCCTTTAAGAATAGCCCCTTTAGTGAAGAACCTATAGATATACTTTTGATGTGAACTCAATAGATATGCAATGACAGCTCTCCAGTGCCATTTTTGCCTTGAAAACTGCTAGGGAGCTAGAGGTATAATACAGGCACACTTCATTTTACTGAGCTTTGCTTTACTGAACTTTGAAAATATTGCATTTTTACAAACTGAAGGTCTGTGGCAATCCTGTGTCAAGCAGGTCTATCAGTATCTTTTTTCCAACAGCATGTGCCCACGTCTTTCCTGTGTTAACATTAGCAATACAGTATTTTTAATTAAGGTATATGCATTTTTAGATAAAATGCTATTGCACACTTAATATACCAGTATAGTGTAAATAATATAGTGTAAACATTAACTTTTATATCCACAGAAAAACCAGAAAAGTTTGTGACTTGTTTCACTGTGGTTGTCTGAATTGAACCCACAATATCTCTAAGGTAAACCTACGTATGCAAGCAATTTTTCTACAAGTATACAGAACATTCAACGACAAGTCACAATCCCTTCTCGTCAACATTCTATTTGTGCAGTAGTCCCCTCTTGTCCACAAGGGATATGTTTCGAGACCCCTGTGGATGCCTCAAACTATGGATAGTACCAAGCCCTTCATATACTGTTTTTTTTTTCAATCTGATAACCAAGATGGCTACTAAGTGATTAATGGGCAGGAAGGGTATACACCATGGATGCACTGGACAAAGGGATGATTCACATCCCAAGTAGGAAACAATGAGATTTCATCACAGTATTTAGAACAGCTCAAAATGTAATGCTTATGAATTATTTCTGGAATTTTCCATTTAATATTTTCAGACTGCAATTGACCTCACATCTGCAACTGTGGAAAGTGAAATTATGGACAGGAGAGACAGTACATTGAAATTTTTCAGTCATGACCATTAAAAATACTCTTCAGAGCTACCAGCAAGATACTGCTAATGTAGATAATAGTAACTACAATATACAGTATGGCCGGGTGCGATAGCTCATGCCTGTAATCCCAGCACTTTGGGAGGTCAAGGCAGGTGGATCACCTGAGATCAGGAATTTGAGACTAGCTTGCCCAACATGGTAAAACCCCATCTCTACTAAAAAAACTTTAAAAATTAGCCAGGTGTGGTGGCACACCCCTGTAATCCCAGCTACTCAGAAGACTGAGCCAGGAGAATCACTTGAACCTGGGAGGCAAAGGGTGCAGCGAGCCAAGATTGTGCCATTGCACTCCAGCCTGAGCAATACAGTAACACTTGGTCTCTAACTAAATAAAAATAAAATAAAATATGTAGAATGGGCACTCAGAACGATTTGATGCAGGTACAAAAGTGACTCAAAGTTGACTGAAGGAAAGAAATCCTACTACCTTTCAAAAAATTGTTTTTCTCACCCTTCAGATATTTGTCCCCAATCTTTTATATTATAATTTACCTCTTCCAGTTAGTTGAATCCTTAAAGCTATCTAAATAAATATTATATGAGCTGAGAAAAAAACCACAGAAGCAAACAGTAGTTAAGATAATTTTTAAATTTTTATATCTTTTGAATTTTCTGTAATGTTCTATAAATAAAAATATTTTTCACCACTTTCAAAATGAAAAAACTGAACCAACAATTTCAGTTTTCTCAACTCTTCAATCTATGCTTGCAAAGAGACAGGCTACTGGCATCTTGTTCACTTCAGTACTTAAATCTCCAGTCCCTGTAATTCATAAATAGAAAAAAAAAAAACTGGAAGTATCAAAATGGGAATGATTAAAGAAAATTACACCCTATCTGGCCAGGTATGATGGCTCATACTTGTAATCCCAGCACTTTGGGAGGCTGAGGCAGGAGGAGCACTTGAAGCTAAGGGTTTGAGATCAGGCTGAGATAGCAAGACCTTGTCCCTGCA